TCGAACTCGAAAAACTGATCCAAACTCGACCCGAAAAATTAAATCTGAATCCAAAATCGAAATTCTAATATATCCTACCGGAAATCTAAATCTTAAGATCCAAAAAACTAAATTCGAACCCAACCCGAATCTGAACCTGACCTGGTACTCAAATACACCTGGTCACCTACAATATAAGTATGTAGTAATAATATATTATATTAGTAATGTTGATATTGTTACTAATCTAGTTGCTTAAAATATATGTTTAGAATTTCTTATATCTTGAATACCTTTTTAGTATTAAACTATTATTTTAGTAAATTTGAGTAGAAAATACTCAAGCTTTTGAAAAAGTTAAATATTTTGGAGTAATTTAGACATATTTGTCAAAATTTTGAGTTTTAAAAATTTCGGGTAATCCAAATCCAAAATATCCGATTTGATCCGAAATTTAAAAACACCTAACAAAACTTTTATCTCTAAATCCAAACACCAAAATATCCAATTCAAAACCGAACGCCAACCCAATTTTAAACGCAATGATGTCTCACAAATATATTTTTCTACATAAAGAATATTGCATGTCTCTCAAAATTTTGGATGAGACAAAAAAAAAAACATTACGTGGATGGACCAAACATGCAAACATTTGATAATAACTCGGTCATGTACAGATAGCAGTGGCTACCTTACTAGCGGTAACAGAAGGATCCACCGGAAACGGAGAAATGAAGAAAAGCTACGCCGTGGCCGTGGTGGTGTTACTTTGCATATACGCAGCTGGCTTTGGATGGTCATGGGGACCATTGAGCTGGCTAGTCCCAAGTGAAATATTCCCACTCAAGATGCGTCCGTCTGGTCAGAGCTTAAGCGTCGCGGTGAACTTCGCCGTGACGTTTGCTCTCTCTCAGACGTTCTTGGCAACGTTATGCGATTTCAAGTACGGTGCGTTCTTGTTTTACGGCGGTTGGATTTTTGTAATGACTGTGTTCGTCATCTTGTTCTTGCCGGAGACTAAAGGGATCCCTGTGGATTCTATGTATCAAGTTTGGGAGAAGCATTGGTATTGGCAACGGTTTAGTAAACCGACGTGATCAACTCGATAGATGCAATGTTGTATTTGGTTTATGTCTTTCATGGATTATGTTTATTAGTTAGGATTAAAATGATATACGACATGTTAGATATGTCAAGTTAGTATATATAGTTATGTATATTGTTGTGTAATCTTGTGATTTTATGGTTATGATCTCTGTTTGATATCGTTGTGTCAACCAAACTCGTAACCTATTTCAAAAGACTGATATATATCAATAAATGTCACATTTTTTTTTCTTTCATACCATTATTACTTATGGTCTCTACGATTTTCGAAGAAATAGGTTTTATATAAAAGTTATAAATTGTTAAGTAGCTAACCATAATGGTGTCTAATTTTTTTATTTTATAACTAATATAGTCAGTAGTACCTTTATTAGTCTAGAAACTCTAATGGATTTCTCACAAAATTTTATATTTCAGTATAGTTTCATAATTTTCATTATATATTAAAATTTTTTTTTCTATTTTAAAAGTTAAACCAATAACAAAATATTGACAAATGTGAAAAAGTTGGGGTTTTAATAGTTTTCTCGTATAAGAAACTGTTTCTCTATCATTCATCAAATATTTCATAATTTATATATCGGTGAGATGTTTTTTCACATCCCACCGATAGAGATGTTCTTGTAATATTTTGGTTTCAGGATTTAATGGTATGTGCAAAGAGTTTTAAAGTAATCGATTCTGCCAATTTTGTCATCAGAATTCACTTATTTTTTCGGCCAAAGATTTTGATAAAGCTTAACAATTATAAATGTGTTTATGCTAGATTGCTAGTGTAGTTTTATGATTGATGATTTTTTGGAAAGTGATTACGGAAACCATTCAAACTAGAAAAAAACACGGAAAAATTCATGTAGTGGTTTGTATAAAAGGTAAAAACTCTTGAAATTTCATTCAAAAAAAAAATAAAACATTCATTCAAAAAAAAACTCTTGAAATAAACAAATTCCTTACAATCAGAATTATTGAAAAATACAAAACTTATCATTATATATTTTAAATTTCCTCTTTTTTGTTTTTTTGTAACGGTCCAAATTTTTAATATTATCCTGTCTGCTTTCAAGCCCATAAAACAAAGCCCATTCGCTTTCCATAAACCCATACTCCAGATCATTCCCGGTTCCCGAAGCAGAAGAATCAAAAGATTCACAAATAGAAAAGAACAAACCAAAACCGACACGTGTCAGTCACTCCTTGACAGCTGGATATTACTTAGTGGCTCTCTAAAATTTCACAAATTCATCTGTCTTCGTCACTCTCCTTTACAATTTCTTTTTTTCTGGTTCTCTCTTGTGTATTTTATTCAAAAGCCAATTCCCAATTTCCCACCAAAGCTTACGTATCAACCTTTTTTGCCGCAATCACGGCGACTCTCTCCGACGACGACGGCGTCATGTCGTCGACGACGAACGGTTCTCGTTGCTCATCATGTTTTCACGGTGACAACGATGTAAATCCCGGTGACGGTGAGTTTACATGCAAAAACACGAATCGATTCGATCTCTCATCTTCTTGTTCTTCGTCTGGATCGAAATCGATGGATGATTCGGAGAAGATTCGTAGAATCATCGTTGCTTCCGTTAAAGGATTCACTATAGGTACTGGTTTAAAAGGTGGATTAGCTATTTTCTCAATCGTCGCTCGTTTCGCTCGCCGTCGTAGATCTTCTTCTCAATCGAGGTTAGCCGGAATCGATTTTGTTTTTTCAATTTTCCGGTTTAGTTCTCAATCTGATCTGATTGTATAATCCGGTTTAGGAAAATCGGAGAGTTTTCGAATAGTGAAGCTATTGCTATGGGGATTAAAGAGACGTTGAGATATGGATTGTTTTTAGGAACTTTTGCTGGGACTTTTGTTACAGTTGATGAAGCTATTGCTGCTTTTGCAGGAAACAAGAGGCATGTCCCTACTAGTCTTTTGTGAATTTGTTATTTTCTGAATTTTTAGTATGAATAAAAATAGTGAGATATAGAGTCATATGGATTGATTTCTTCAGATTTGATCAGTAGTAGTGAAGTAATTTATCTGAAATCCAGAACTGTAAAGTGGAGGGCCCTGTTTGCTGGATTAGTGGCTGGACCATCTATGCTTCTCACAGGGCCAAATACGCAACATACGAGTTTGGCTGTTTATATATTGATGCGTGCTGCGGTCCTTGCGTCGCGTTGTGGTATTAAGAGTAAACGGTTTGGTACGATTTGCAAGCCGCTTACTTGGAAACATGGGGATTTGTTTCTCATGTGTCTCTCTTCTTCACAGATTTTGTATGTTTTCTTCTCCTTTCGTTTAGTTGTTTTCTTGGTTAGTGGTTCTTGATTATTCAGATTTGAGGATTTTATTGTTTGTTTGTGTTTTTTTCAGGTCTGCTTACATTTTAAAACAAGAAAGTCTTCCTTCGTCGTACAAGTCTTTTCTTAACAAGCACGGTGGGAAGGATCTTTCTATCTTACAAGGTGTAAAAGATATTGCTAGCGCTCAACCGTTTACCAATTTAAGGGCCATTGAGAAATATTACAAGTCTGTTGGAGTTGATATGAAGCTTGATCCTAATATGAAAGTCCCATGTTCGGTATGTGTTTATATTGGAGTTACTTGCTTCCTTTGTGTTAATTGTCTAGAATAGTTTTACTCAATGCTCATGTTGTTTCTTGCAGATAATACATGGAAATGAGTCATGTGTTAAGCATGGTATTACATTTTTCCTTGAAGCTTACAAGAGGGCGTTACCTGTTTATGTCCCTGTCTACTTGATTCCAGCGCTAATAGTCCATCGTCAAGACCTGCTAAAAAAGTAATAGATTCATGTCCTGCAGAATCCTATGATTTTCTATTCTGCTCATTAAAGTTGGCATATATTCATCACTTATTCCCACAGGCAATACTCGATACTTGGCAAAGGTCTTCTGGGTACAGCGAGATCAAGTTTGTTTCTCTCTACTTACTGCTCTTCTGCCTGGTTAGAATCGTTTCTTGAAAAGCTCTTAATTTGATTCCTTGACTAAAAACATAGTAAGATACGTTGGATTTTGTTCTCACTTAAAGTTAAAACTTATAGCATCTCTGTAATGATCTAAACTAGGGCATGGACTTGCCTACTTTTCCGGACTTTTGAGACATGCAACATACCGCTCGTGGCCATAGCAACGGTACAAAGCATATCCACCACATCACATACATGTATGTGGAATCAATATTTTTACCTAACTTTTTGGATTTTTTTTTCCTGCAGTTCCCAACAGGTCTGGCCTTAGCTATTGAGAAGAAAAGCAGAAGAATAGAGATATCACTCTACTGCTTAGCGAGGGCAATAGAGAGCTTCTTCACTTGCATGACGGATGCAGGATATATTCGACCGCCCAAGAGTCTAAGAAGAGCAGATGTGGTTGTTTTCAGCGTTTCGACAGCCATTATAATGCATTGTTACGCGCAAGAAAGAGAGGTATTTCGATCAAAATACTTGAACGTTCTAGATTGGGTTTTCGGTGTTCCTCCTCCTCCTCCTGTTACTCCTCCTTGCCAAAAAAACCTAGAGACATTTACTTTATAATTTATCCGACTTCAGAAGGTAAAACATAAGTTTCATCAGGAAGTTCATGAAGTCTCTAAAGTTGTCATTTTGTTCTCAACTTTTAACCTAAAGATGCAGGATAGAATTTGGTTGTAGAATGTTCATTTAGAGTCTCTAGGAGTTTTGTTTTGGGTTTTGGGATATCTAATAAACAATTTTACGCCATAAAAACCAATTCTTGTAGTTCATCTCTAACTCTAACCACAATAGTGTTTTTACCAAAGTGCTTAACTCACTTTAAAGTATTGGAACCATGGTATAGGCCAATCTTTGTCGACGTATGGTTCTATTGGTTTCAACATTTTTATCTCGAATAGGTCATGTCATTGAATTTGCAGACCAATCATGTGAACACAAATACGTAATCTTGTAATGAGACTTACATGTTCCTCGAAGTTAAAATAAACTCGAAGGCCAACAAAACATGTTAATCAACACTAAACCATACAGTAAACATGAACAAGTAAATACAATACGACTCTAATAATTTGATACGTACATCCACCAGCTATACACTGCATATCCATAGACCGTGCCGTATAAAACCATCCTCATAGGATACACTCTAAACCTGCATATATCACAGAAACATACATAACTTGTAAACCTAACATTTATAACGGTGTACCGCGGGTTAAAATCTACTACACATATTACAAATCTCATACAATCAAAAATGCAACCTGGCATTAAAAAGCGTATGTTTATATATCCATAGTGGTTGAGGCAATAATATAAACCAAAACTTAGATCTAACAGTTCAAGAAGTGACATATAAAAACTAAAACACATATCAAACAACTAATCTCTAATATAGAAATCAAGATCAAGTAAAGTAACCTTGAAGGATGAGATTTACGGGCAAGAGCGGCGGCTCTTTCCTCGGCGGTGACAGGGTAACCCCACCGTGAGAAACTCCGATCAAAGAAGTCCCAGTCGGGTAAAAGTATGCCACCGATAAGAGAAATACCGACGGCGTAAGTAACAACAGTCTTCTTTAAAGATTGTGTCCATAACCATACTACCACCATCACCAACGCAAGACCTACCATAGATAATCTTAGTGCTGCTTCGTTCCCCATTTGTAGTTATGGTTAGGTTAGTTGAAGAAGGTGCGTTTTAGAAGAGAACGAAAAGGATGGTAACAGAAGTAAACATGTAAAGAAGAAGACTAGAGAAGATGATGAAGAATGTGTTAAGTTATTATAGATTAAGCTGATATTTTTTGGAAAAATGCGTGGCGATTAAATGCCGCCATAAATGTAGTAAAGTCCCAACTGTTTTTTTTTGGATCCAATTTGTTTTTTTTTTTGGTTTTAATTTAATTTGAGTTTTCTTGGTTTTTAATGGTATTTTGATCGTGTATAATGGAATAAAATGACATTAACGAAGTAAATATTATGATTTAAGTTACACAATCATATCTTATACTCTCTCCGTTCCTAATTAATTACTGTTTTAGGAATAAAATTTTCTTTCACAAAAAATAAACATTATTAATTAGAATTTACAAATTTCAAAGTAAATAACTAAATACTATTGGTTTAGAGTTTTTAAAAACTGTGATCACAAAAATAATGTAACTATTATAAATTTTTAAACGTTTTTTTAATATGTGTGGTAAAACTAGAAAGTAATCAATTAGGAACAAAATGAGTATATTACAAAATTATGTGCATTGGATTAGAGTGTTCTAAGAAAATACCTCAGAACTTGTTTATTTGTTTGTGCCTATGAAAACTATATAAATAAGGAATTGCCTATTATGTGTGATCGGTAATCTATATTAACATTTTTGAAGTACCTTTTATGTTCTACCCTTTTATTTTGTTATATTTTCATAATTAAACACTTGTCATTTGATTAAATAGTAAAAGTTTAAGATAAATTTTGTAATTAAATCATAATAAAATTGCAAAATTAGAAATCAATATTTACTACATTTAACAAAGTTTCCTAAAATCTCTCCCTAATAACTCAAATATTTCTCCAATATCTTTATATGACCTTATTTGTTTTTAAGTTTATATTATTACATAAACATATGTATAGTAAAAATATAAAAAAACAATTTTTGCATATGTTGCAATTTGTATTTTTAGAAACGGATGTATTACTCAAACGATACAAAAATATGGATGTACTAAAGTAATATTTTGATAATTGTGTAGCACGGGTCATGTGATGGAACGGGTTATAATTTACATAATTATGATTATAGATATTTTTACGGGTTGTCTACTATAGTATAACTCACAAAATATTTTAATATGAAATTATACTATGTAAACGAATATTATGTCAATATCATTTCATTATTTTAAATATTATACTTATTTAATTAATTTGATCAAGTTACGATTATATAAAAAATAAATTATCATATAATATTCTACGGGTTAAATCATAGAATTAACAATCAAAATATAGTAGTACACTCTTATATACTCACAAAATTAATAAAAAGAATACATTTTAAAATGTCGTCCAACGGGTTAAAATCTAGTATACTAACTAATTTTTAAGGTGGCTTAAAACATAGTCTTTTTAAGATCAACATGTGTTTTGCTAATCATCACACATCCACTAATGGGATTCGACTGTGATGATAGTCGGCACGATAATGTTACCAATATACGTCATCCTAGGTACACCATGGCTATACTAGATAAAAGCCATCGTTTCCACGTATAATTAGTGCGTCAAATTCACAACTCAACGATGGATCTATACCTTGTGTGGAGACCCGATTATTGCACACATATGTTTATCATGGAGAGATAGCTTCACAACACTAGGCCATTCACCATCGTCGAGTTCGCCTACCAACGAGATATACGATAGGCTCCGTACACATAATCAATTTCCCAACTTAATATCGATTAAACCAATCCATCACGATGTGTTGGGGTAGGTGCCGATCTACCTCTCCCCTTGAGGGAAATTCTCGTAAAATTCCTACAACAGAACTCTACCACTTTCCCTTGGACACTAGACGACATGCTTAGTATAAACCCTGGCGTCTCATGTCACAAAATTAATATAGATCCCACCTACTAGCCAATCAAGCAAAAGTGAAAAAGTTAGTTCATGATCGCGCTGCTGCTGTTAACAAAGAAGTACAAAAACTACTAGACTTTGAATCTCTCATGGAAGTACGTTAGGTTAAGCAACCCTATTATTTTCACCAAAATAAAATGGGAAATGGAGATTTTGCGTTGATTTCACCGACCTCAACAAATCATGCCCAAAAGATAGCTTTCTCTCCCATAAAAACCTATCTACATCTCGTTGCTCGGAGATCTTCAACCAGCCCCATGGGATCATGCTTATTCTCCTCATTAGCATAATCTTCGAAAAATGCGAAATCCATGTAATCTCCACCAAAATCGCTCTCGTAATCTTTTGGGAACTCGAGAGTATCGTCAAAATCGTGTTTACCATGATCGACACTTATACCAGAACGACACACTCCTTTCTCACATCAAAATTTAGCCTTTATAAGCTATCAATAAATTTATCTTGCATGCCAATCTTGCCACATTGTCCTCGAACGCCAACCTCGCCACCCTTTTCTTGAGTGCGTCCTCACCATCGTCATCACAACCATGGTAGAACTTGTCACATTCGGCTGTCGAGCTACTCGCGTCGAACTCCAAGTCTTCATGATTCTCGCCGACCTCCACATCGTCGAGCTTCCTTGTCATCTCAACCAACTCAAGATCGATGTAACCATCACACCAAGCCACAACCCGTCTTACTGTGTCGTTTTCTTTGTTTGATTGAGCGTCACTCTCATGCCAAGCAAAGAGCTCATTCTTTTTGTTCTTGTGACACAACCACCTCGCTTGCCAGCCGTGGTAACCTCGCCGTTAAACATCACAAAATTACCGGTGGCAGTTAGGGTTTTACCCAAAACAAAGCAAAAAGTCTAGAGAGAAAGAAGAGAAGGAGAAAAGAAAGTAACAAAAATAATAGAGAGAGAAAATTTACCTTTTATTAGAGGAGGAAGCAAGGAGGAAGCACGTGAAGAGCAAAAATGAAGGAAAAGACAAACATAAAAATCTATGTAAAAAAAGTAATATCGAACAAATTTACTTTTTTGATCTCGAATTGATCCGTCGTAAAAAAATATCTCGAAATACATACCCGACGCACATCTATACTATTAATTGGGAAGCACAACAAGAAGCCAAACAGCCCCCAATTTTTTAAAAAAATGTCATGAAACTTAAACAAGTTGCCAAACAAAATTAATGACAGCAAAATCTTTTTAAAAATTAAATAAATAATAAAAAAACAGAAACAACCTATATTTATGGAAATCATATTAATTTTGTTGCCAAAAAGTGGACAATTAAATTCGAAAATTTACATATGTAACATATTTATTTTTTGAGATATTTTTATACAATAATTTAATATTTAATAAAATCTAATTTATTGTATTTTATTTATTTGGTTTAATGGTTTTATTCAAGTGGTTTATGATACATTTATTTTGTATATCTCTTATGATATGATAATAAATTTATTTTGCCTTACGAAAATCATCATATATTTAAAACACAAAAATAAATATGTTATATATTGTACAATAGCATAAAATATGGAGAGAAATATTCAAGAAAATTGATAATATAATAAAAAAATGATAAAATCTTAATAAAATTTTTAAAATGTTTAAATAAAAATATTAAATAAATCAATAATGAAAATTTGTTTTCAAAAATCAATAGAATAAATATTTTATATCACATACAATCTCCTTTCACATTAAAAATCTTCATATTGAAA